CTCTTGCAGGCGGGGTATCGAGGCGGACGGCACCTGAGGCAGTCGGAGCTAGCTGTGGCCTTTTTTTTCCCCCCAAGTACAGCAGGTTTCTCAGAAGAGGGGCAGTGCAGTGTTCCCACACCTTTTGAAGACTTCATATCACGTTGTTTTCTTTGGTTTCCCTGCTCATTGTGAAGAACTTACGGGAGTTCTTTTGGAAGGATCCAGCATTGCGGTTTCAAGGCGCGCGAAACGTGAGGGTCTGTGTTTTTTTATTATTATTATTTATTACTATTATTTTACGTTGGAACCCCAAAAATGGCGGTTTTCCTTGTGGTTTCCCTTTAAACCCCCCAACAGACAGACCCGGAATGACGTTATGTTTTTATCGTCGAAACCATCCATCAGAGTCCATGTTTGGGCCCCTGAGGCTCCCAACCACCGGCACCGGGACATCTGCTGGACTTATTGATCCCACCCACCAGCACGCGGGTCCCCCCCCCGCCGTTTTGTACTGAGACAAGTCGTCTCAGGTTCGGGATCTACGAAAAACCAACACCCTCACCACTGGGCAGGATGTGGGGGGCCCATTGGCGGTTCGGATTGGTTGTGGCATTGGAAGCTCTGGTTCGTGATGGTCCAAACCACCAAAGGGAAGCTGAGCCTTGGTATGGGCAACCCGAGTTGACGGAGTCCCGGCAGATTCATGGTTGGCTTTTGCTGGGAAAGGACTCAAACATGCTTAAGATTCTGTTTGATCAGATTAAAACAACTTCACAACGCCTCACCTGAGGTTGCGAGCGAGATCCATGAAGATTCTCTTGAACGGCGTTCCTTGAATACTATTTTCCCAGAAGGCATGAAAAACATTTGCTCCCAAAGAGGAATTATAAAAATGTGGTACATGTCGACAGCCGGGTTTCCCTTTTCCCTACTGTGGATGGACGAAATCCTGCACCACCTAAGAAACCTTGGGAATCCACAGTGTCAAAGCTGTGTTTTCCTCAGCACCGGTGTCCCTCAGGAGCATCCCGAGCTTTGAGAGGAGCTCGTTGGAGGCTCGCCGACGTCTCAAGCCGATTTGTTGCATGGGACATCGCGATGTTACTTCCTGATCTCATTTTGTGTCTGAGGGGGTCGAGCTTCAAGGGAATTCCGTGATTTGCTTGGGTAAAATGGTGAACAATTGTTTTTGGTTTTTGAATCTTTCGCTGACCCATGTTACCCCCCAAAGCAGCTGAACCCATGGTTCATACGTAGTAGTGTGTGTTGGAAAGTCCTTTTGTGATGGCATGCCTAGTGT